GTTTGCAATTTTGGTGGTCGGAAAACCCTAGTGTGACTCTAACAGCATAGCAGATTTTGCCATTTAGCAAAAAAACCCGCTAGTGTGAGTATGCCCTTAGCATAGCAGACTGTAAAAAGCCTACCTGATCTATCTAATCATGCCAGATTCGATCCCTCCTCTCTAAGCGGATTGTTCGCTTTCGAGTCATGGAAAATTCTATGCGTGTATATAAATATTATTATAATTAATATTATATCCCGCTCAGTTGACTGCGACCAAAAGTCGTGCCAAGGCAATACTGATCTTGTGAGCCCAGTGGGCCCTTCTGTCAGCCCGAGAGATTGCCCGGGAGCGTCCTCTCACCCATTCCCGCAACTCTTCTAGACTCTCCCGCGAAGGCTGTTCAATTTTATAACCATTGGTGGTCAGTGACCGGAGAGGCTATTGTAGCCGGGCAGGTGGGCACGTGCTAATGCACACACACATACACAGAGACAGAGAGAGAGAGAGAGAGAGAGAGAATGATCTGACCAGAGGGGGCAAAAACAAGCGCACGATCAGAGAGGGCAATAACGAGCGCGCGGGGGGGCGCGGAGAGAGAGAGAGAATGATCTGACCAGAGGGGGCAAAAACAAGCGCACGATCCGAGAGGGCAATAACGAGCGCGCGGGGGGGCGCGGGGGGGGGGGGGGGGGGGAGAGAGAGAGAGAGAGAGAGAGAGAGAGAGAGAGGCAGAGTGAAAGAAGGCGGGAAGGAGCGCGGGATCAGAGAGTTGATTAACGAGCGCAACGATACTGTCTGCGTGTGTGTGTGTGTGTGTGTGTGTGTGTGAGATAGATAGAGAGAGAGAGAGAGAGAGAGTCCCTCAGCGACCGCGCCGGTGTAGCTATGCTAAGAACCGTCCCTTTCTATTTCTCCCCGCCTTGCTCGCTTCCATTCAAAAAATTTGAATGCTGCAGTATATCTGCTTCCCTCTCGAATGAGTGAGAGTGAAATTGGAGGTGGTGTAGTCGATTGGCTTCAGCCATGTGTACGTCTCGTCATGTGCTGCGCTGTGATTAGCAGTGATTACAAGTTTCATCGCCGGATTTCTTCTTGGTTAATCATCTGTGGGCCGTTTTTCCCTCCTCTTAGGAACGACGAAGCGTTGGCCCTTTCGTTTCTGTTCGTTCCTGCGTTCCTGCTTTTCTGCGTTTCTGCATCTCTGCACCTGTGCTGTATTTGTGCATTTGTGCATTTCTCATCTTATCGGTAGTGTTTGTTCAGAGTGCAGCGCGGACCCGTCCTTCCGTCATTCGGGATCCACCGATGGATCCAGTTGCGGCTGAGAGGTAGTTGCCAGCTCAGCACAACAACGTGTGAGGGGTACAGCCCAAGTCCCCGTTAAACCACCAGTTCAAGTACTTAGCGTGTGAATGTCATCCCTTCTTGACCGCCATCCAATGAGCACTCCCCATGTTTTGAGAAGACAGGATCCGCCAACGCCAGCAAGCGGTTAGTGCTTACAGTGGAGAAGGGAGAGAGAGAAGGGGAGAGAGAGAAGGGAGAGAGAGAAAGGGAGAGAGAGAAGGGGAGAGAGAGAAGGGGAGAGAGAGAAGGGAGAGAGAGAAGGGGAGAGAGGAGGGAAAGGGACGCCACTGATGGTGCAGTGGACAAGGGAGGGACAGAAGGGGAGAGAGAAGGGAAAGGGAAGGGGAGAGAAAGGGGAGAGAGAAAAGGGAGAGAAGGGAAGGAGAGGGGAGAGAAGGGGGATCGATTTACAGTCTGTCGCTTTTAACCACTCGGTCACTCTGCTGAAGAATTCAGCATCCTACAGGATTTGAACTTGTGACCTTCAACTTAGAAGAGAGAGGGAGAGAGAAGGGGGAAGAAGGGGAGAGAGAAGGCGAGAGAAAGGAAGAGAGAGGGAAAGAGAAGGGAGGAGCGTGAGAAGGGAGGGAGAAGGGAGGGAGAAGGGAGAGAGAAAAGGGAGGGATCGTATTGTGTGAGCGAGAGGGGAGAATCCTGTCCTTGACCTCATAGGTAACGGGGTCAAGGCCATTGATTAGCTCTCTGAATCCACGTAAGCGTTTCGTGGCTCGTTGTCTTGCTGCGTCGGGATTCTTCTGAGAGGTTCAGTGTTCGAGTCTCGGTAGGAGCAGCAGAAGAGAGAAGGAGCGCGGGGGGGGGGGGAGAGAGAGAGAGGGAGGGGGGGGGGGGGAGAGAGAGAGGGGGGGGGGGGGGGGGGGGGGGGGGGGGGGGGGGGGGGGGGGGGGGGACAGGGGTGTGAGGGCGTAAGTGAAGAACAAGGAGGGAGAGGGAGCGAGAGGGAGAGAGGGAGAGAGATGTCGTCGGGACCGCACAGGAGGGCGTCCTCGTCTGCGAGGAGCGGGACTTACGAGCAGCAACCGCTGATTGCAACGTCAGCATCATCATCGTCGCCATCGAGGCATGAAGAGGTTCTGGGCGGACAGCAGCCATCTTCATCATCGTCGGTATCGCCGCCTTCTCTCGCAAGACCGTGGGATTGCCCTCATTGCACGTTCATCAATGAGGTGGAGATCCTGCGGTGTGCCATGTGTCAACGGCCGCGGTATGTCCATCATCCGGTGCTGTTAGCGACGGTCACACCGGCGGAAGCCCTGCCGTCGAACACCGGGGGAGGACATGGAGAACGAGGGGACGGGGGGGTGGTTTTGGGTAGACGACGATTCGACGATGAAGCAGATGAGGAGGAGGATGAGGAGGGAGGAGGTGGTTTTCTACAGGGCGTTGCGGGGATGTCGGAGGGGCAATCCTTCTTGAATGGCGCGTTATCGGGGGCTCTCACGGGCGTCTTCGCTTTTGGTAAGTCAAGGTCAACCCAACATTTCTCTCCCTCTTTCCCCCTCCCTCTCTCTCCCTCTCTCTCGCTCCTCCTCTCCCCCTCTCTCCTTTTCCCTCTCCGTCTCTCCTTCTCTCCTCTGCTTCTCTTCTTCTCCTTCTCTCCTTCTCTCCCTCTATCCCTCTCTCTCGCTCTCCCTCAAGGCCAATCAACTCTGCTCTTAACGTCTCTCCCTCCCCCCCTTTCTTCCTCTCCCTTTCTTGCTCTCCCTCCCTCTCGCTCTGTCTCCCTCTCTCCTCTCTTTCTCTTTCTCCCTCTCCTCTCTCCCTCCCTTTCGCTCTCTTCGCCGCCTTTCTTTGCATTGCCTTGCACTCATCTCTCTCTCTCTCTCTTTCTGTTTGTCTTCGTATGTATGGCCGGAAACATACCTTGTATACGTTTATTTTCAGGGTGCGTTATGTTCGGGGGAAGACTGTAGTCTCTTCCGTTTATTTTCATCCTCCTCCTTTTATTGGTGTTCTCTGAGGGCAAGCTAACTCCCAACTTCGTTCTCCCCTTGCGCTTCAGGCCAATAATCGCGTAAAAGTTTTTTTTTTTGTTGAAATTGTGATTCTATTGCACAGGCTGCGGAGTGCGATAACTTTCCTTTTCGCGCGCGAAACACACAGATGGAAAAGTTCGATTGTTCGCAGAAAGGGAAAACGTGCAAGCTCTATGAAAATTACAAGTATCGAAAAAATAAAATTATATAAAAATAAAAATAAAAATAAAAATTAGAAGTATTGTGTTCTGCATTTTTCTTTCCCTTTCTTGTCTTGCCTCTTTTCTTGCTGCTTGTTCCTTGTGCCTGCCACTTTCTTTCTCACACCTGTTAAGCGCTTGCGATCCATGTTGATTGTTGTAGAGCGCGCGCGCGCGCGCGTGTGTGTGTGTGTGTGTGAGAGAGAGAGAGGGAGAGAGAGAGAGAGAGAGAGAGAGAGAGAGAGAGAGAGAGAGAGAGATGGTTTTCGTGTGAAGTCAGCTTGAGAGTTGTCAGGCGGGAAATTGACGGACTGCGAGTGTTCTAATTTGTCGGTTGCGGGTTGGATTGATTGGTCGATTGATTGGGGGGGGGGGGGGGGATTTCTCGTATGTAGGGGTTGGTCGATTGATTGATTGATTGATGGATGGATGGCTGGATGGGCGGGTCAATGTCTCCGTTGGCTGGTCTCATTGATGGATGGATGGATGGATGAATGGATGGGCACAGGTGAATTTCTCGTTTGGCTGGTTTGATTGATTGGTGGCTGGCTGGGAGGAGGAATGGATGGATGGATCTAGTGATTGGTTGATTGGTTGATTGCTTGATTGCTTGATTGGTTGATTGCTTGCTTGCTTGCTTGATTGGTTGATTGGTTGATTGGTTGATTGATTGCTTGAGTGAGTGATCGATTGATTGGTTGATTGATGGAACGTAATGGATGGATGATGGATGGATGGATCTGATTGCTTGTTTGATTGACTAATTAGTCGATCGACCTAGTGACAAGCTGTCAATCTATGAACGTATACTACGATGATCTTATCTGGAAGGATTTGGTTGTATTAGGGCGTACTCTCACTTGCAATTTCCAAAATGCATGTGGCTGCAATTACGCCCAGCCATACCTGGATGAATTTGAATGCAATCACGTCCAGAGCATTGTCGTACGAGTCCCTAGTGTTCAGTATGCCCTTATCCGATTACCGTAGTTTTCGCTTGTGCAGAAATTATTTTTCGATGACCATAGTTTTCGCTTGTGCAGAACTTACTGCAGTAAATATCATACTGAAGTAGGTAAGGACAGTACTAAACAGTACTTAAAAATACTAGACAGTGTGCATCAGGTCAGGTTTCGCGGAAGCGATTTGCGAGGAGGGGCTGTGGCAGCGAACAGCTGTCTTGCTACGGTCTTGTCACGGTCTTCCCCCTAATACATTATCGCGACGTCATCACGACTGTACCGAACCGGAGAGACAGCTTGAGGGTGCGTTGTGTTCGGGGGGGAAGACGGTACTCAGAGCGATTCGAGGAGGGTCGGTGGAGACAGGACGGACGAGACCAAGGGAGAGGGGGAGGCGAGACGGGTTGGGAGGACTCGAAGGAGGGGAGATGAGAGGAGGAGGAGGAGGAATTTGCAGGGAGGAGAGAGAGAGAGAGAGAGAGAGAGAGGATGGAGCGAGTAAGCATACGAAAAATTGTATGATGATCATGGCAACTCGAAAGGGAAAGGCGTTCATTCACATCCACGCGGACAATGGGGGTAAAGGGGCTTTATAAAGGGGGGAGGTGCGGGGGGAAAGAGGTCTGGTGGCGCGGACAGGGTTAGCGCAAAGAAACCATTTCTGCAACGATTTCTGAAAAAAAAAAAAAAACGCTGTCGGCCTCTTGGCTAAGATCAAGTGTAGTTTTCGTTCTGATGAGTTTATATCTGATCCGTGGTCTCTATCACCATAAAAAGGGAAAAAAGGAAAAAAAGGAAAAAACTTCAAAAAAGGAAAAAAAGGAAAAAAAAGGAAAAAAAGGAAAAAAAGGAAAAAAAGGAGAAAAAAGGAAAAAAAGCCAGGCTACCAGCCGGGCCGCCCGGGTCCCGGGTGGCCAGCCCGTGCAAGGACCAAGGAAGGTCCCAGAAAAAAAAAAAAAAAAAAAAAATCAAAAAAATCGGAAAGAAAACTATGTGATGCAGAAAAATAAACTGAACAACTTTTGCCTCAGGGTCAGATCGAAATTCTTCACCAAATTTAAAATAAAAATTAAAAATTAAAAAATATATTTTTTATTTAAATGTTTATATATTTTTTGGCCCGGCCGGGCAAGTGCCCCCGGGCCACTCTGGTAGCCTAGAAAAAAAGGAAAAAAAAGGAAAAAAAGAAAAAAGGAAAGGCGACTAAAGTGATGGAAGGCAAAAAAAAAAAAAAAAAATGATGGAACGCGCATTCAGGAAGAAACGGGTCTCCGATGCCTCGGGCAGAGTGCATCTGGACATGAAGAGGGCCAAGTACGTGCATGATCTGTACCGGGATTAATTCAAGACCCGCGGGTGCATTCTGGCAGCATGTTCTTTTTTCGTTTCTTCTTTTTCTTCTTTTTCTCTGTTTTTTTTTTTTTTTTTAACATGAAACTGAGCTCATTTGATTTCGCACGTCAAAATAGAGGCCGGGAATCCTTCATAACCAACCCGGAAAAGGAACAGAAAACTAAAATGTGGGTGGGGGGGGGGGGGGGGAAGCCAGAGACAGAAATGGCCAAAACCAGACCACTGTCCTGCAACCCCCCGGCCCCTTAACCTACCGACCCCTTAACCCACCGACCCCTTTACCCACCGACCCCTTAAAAAAAAAAAAAAAACACACCCCCTCAGGCCTGGAAACAACCTCACAACCAAAAAGAAAACAAAGAAAAAGGAAGGAAAATGCACAAACAATCCTGAGACACTTCAACTAGGCTTCTTAGGTTCTTCTTTTTTTTTTTTTATACAATACGATCCCACCTTCTATATGTACATATAAGCAAATTTTAGTCTACGGCGTGGGCGCGGGGAACGCAGCCCTAAGGTAGCCAAATCAATGAGACTAAGAGCTCGCACAAGAGAGAGAGAGAGAGAGAGAGAGAGAGAGAGAGAGAGAGAGAGAGTTTTGTTCCATTTATTGTTATGAGTGTGAGAGAGAGACAGAGTGAGAGAGAGAAAGAAAGAGAAACAGAGAGAGGG